ATTGATAATATTCTGAATAAGATTGTAACCACAAGGCCCCTACTGTGTATAACGAAACACAAGTACAAAATCATACACGTTTATGTTATAGAAGGTAAAACACAGCAACATTACTTGAACTTGTACGGTGCAGTCTGCAAACACTTATTAAGGAACCCATTCATGTCAAAATTACTCGAAACTGGTTGCCGGTAAACTGCCTCCACTAGCCGATAGTAATAGCTTGGTCCAAATTCCGGAAATTGTAAGAATAATTCTTCAGACACGTCCAGGTGTAACATCCATGTATAGTCCTGCCAAAAACTTTGCCACAATGTTAAACAGAACTAGAAAAAGAAGAAGAAGAAGAAGATAAAAGACAAATATAAAGAAAAAAATATCTACCTCCTCCTTGCCCTTATCATTCACGTGTTCATGTGAATCCCTATTAAATTTAAAAAGTGGTGGATCTTTTTGTGCGGCGGGTGCAATATAGAATAAAGGACTATCCGATGGAATTCTCTTTTCCCAATTGGTCATATCTGTTGGACTCTTGTTCAACATTACTTCTGAAAATATTCGCCAGGAAGTTTTCATGTTATCAAATTTTCTCATCATCTGGTATCGCCCATCCGCATCACGGAATAATGGATTATTTTTTATGAAAAACCACAAACACCTGATTAAAATAAATATGGAAAACAATGTAAGATGACAGTATTTTTGAAAAAAATAAAAAATAAGAAGGCAATTACTTACTTCATGTCTGCATGTGAGTGACAGTTTGGAAGAAACTCTGAGATCATTTTCCAAAAGAGGGTGAGACAGCTACCCCACCCATCTTTAAATGCAATTGCTTTCTCAAAGGTATTTTTGGATTTTGCTGCGGCGGCAAGTCCAACTAAAGCTAGGAGATCTGTAAGATCTTTAAGAAGACCGTCTTTAGAATCTGTTTAAAAGAATTTCAAATCAGATCAGTCTTTATCCATCATCTTTCAGTTCAATTTTAAAATTTCAATTACTTGTTAAAAATACAATATATAAACGCGTGGAATGGCCTCATTCATGAAACTGAAGAGATTTTTGGGTGTAATGGTGCATACCTATATGGAGATCATCAGGCCAGCACAGTTTAACATCATTGTTTTCCAAAACCGATATTCCATTTATGAGGTTGCCGTGGTAGCCTTCCTTTTGGATAAAACAATCCAATCCTTTGATGATCCCCTTGAAAATGTGTAAAAAGTCTGTTCCAGGACCAATTATTATGTCATCTTTGCCTTGCCAAAGATCCAGATCGGATTTATAAATCCAGTCATAGTATTCGACACCCAATCGATCCAACACAATTGTGGTTTCACCTTCTTTGTATTTCAGGTAGATGATTTTCGCAATACAGGGACTGTCAGAGTAGTTCAATCTTTTCACAAGGTTTTTGGCTTTCGCTCGTTTATCTTTTTTGTATTGAGTTACTGATATTTCTACCGCATTTCCTGTGTTCCTAAATAAACCGTAACCATTTTTGAAATTTCCATAATCATCAGGAGTTTCTTCTGCACTCCACCACACACCGCCTTTTACCTGCAAAAAAAAAAAAAAAATTACAAAAAATATTACCTAAGGCATATTCCTCCTCCTGTGAACACCTCCTGTGAACACGTTCAAACCTTGCGTGGGATAACAGTTTCTGCCATATTCATGATCCTGCACCCAAAGAAGTAAAAAACTTTTCATATTTAACAATATCAAAGATTTTCACTGCATAAAAAAATATAAATTTAATTCCATCACAGCACCTTGGTCCACTATACAACTACCAACAATACATAAACCAATTGATGCAGATGCAAATAAACTCGACCAAAATCTTGGAGACTCAACAACCCGGAGAACTGTGAGCTCAAAGGACTAACAACCCTAGCATATAATTTTACAGTATACAGGACAGTCATAAACTAAAATAGAACACAATGGGACAGTTTATGAAAAGTACCCAAGGTTCAATTAGCTAGGAGAATATATACAAGTAAGCACAATATTTAATTTTATTAAGGCACAAAAACAATATTAGGAATTAAAAGGTATCAAGATTTCAGACATACACCCTAAATGACACTCTGATATTAAAGCACGAAGATAGTTACTTATATATGAGTTTGTAATAACAAGAAATCATCATAGTGTGTGTGTGATCAGTGAAATCATCACTATAAAAGAGTTGGCGACTTTAAAAAAAAAAAAAAAACAGATGGTGTGCTGAAATTTTAAACAGCCAAACTCCTGGAGATCAAATTCTAAGAAAGACAAAAAGATTAAATTTCCCTACTCAGTTCAACAGATCCTTATTCCTCTTCCTTCTGATCATGTTTACGACACACAATATCAATGACACTATATCCAATTACAATCGTAAGCCAGGTCTGATAATTGAGATCGCAACTTATCGTTTCTCAAACCCTTAAATCCAAAATAAAGTACATGAATATATGAAATACAAAGAAAATAAAATCAATTACTCTTGAAACAATTTTTACTTACCTAAAGAGAAGTATCTAATTTTGGTTAAGAATCTGTAATCCAGATCTGAAATCGTAAGAAATTTCTCATGAGATTACGAAACCCTCTATATGTTGAATAAACGAAGCAAATGAAGAAAAGCAAATATTCACTGAAATGGTGACTTACCGAAAGAGAAGTCGCTGAAATGGTATGTTGCTCTCTCCCAAACCCTAACTCGTGAGAATTCCAATATAGAGAGAGTGATATAGAGTATATGTTCTATGAGAGATATTAGATAGATATATGAACCGAGAGATACAGAGAGACACGGAAACGGCCTCGCGCGCCAAAACTTTTCCTCATGAATTATCTTCAGGACGAAAATAACCTACCTAAAATAAGCTGCAATCCAATTAAAATTAGGGACATTAATGTAATTTCAGAATTTCGGACGAAAATTAGCTAAAATAAGATGCCACCTCAATAAAATTAGGGGCGCAATTTCAGAATAAAGAGTATTGGACGAAAATAACCTGCCACCTCATTAAAGAGCACGTGTAAGTGAAATGTTTCTCCCTCTACCTCTCACCTCATCTCTCTGCTGACATGGCTTCCGCCACTCGAGAGGAAGGCGAGGGAGTGGAGATCGAGGTCGGCGGCGAGGGAAGAGTTGTCATAACGGATGGAGGAGTTGAGGTAGAGGCAGTGGTGGTGGGGTTGGAGCCCCGGAATACACAGTGGTGGTGGTTGTGGGGGTGGGGATAGTGGTTATGGTGCTGCCGATTGTGGTGGTGTTGGTGCTCCGGAATGCACAGTGATGGTGGTGGAGGCGCCACCGGTGGTGTTGGTGTAAAGGAATGCATGGTGGTGGTGGTGGTGGTGGTGGTGGTGTTGGTTGTCCAGGCGTTGCCGGTGGTTGTGGCGGTGCCGCGATCTGTTGCAGGGGCGGAGGGGCCAAAAATTTGGGAAATTTTTAGAGTTATATGGTCCATCATGGGCCAAAAATTTGTTCCCCAAATAACCATAGCCTTTACTTTTAAACCCGATTATTTTTAATTTATTTCAAGCCCAGCCCAATAGAAATAAAAATCATCCCTCTTATAATACTACTGTAATATTAGCCCATTCAATTATATTAAACACTTTGTTTACTTTATAGGGGCTCAAGGGGGAAAAGATAAATATTAAGAGTATGTTTTGGATGCGTTTTGATATGTTTAGTAATGTCTATTTGTTATAATTTTTTTAAAAGCAACCATATAAAAATATATTTGGCAAAAAAATGTTACAAGTTTGACAAGAATAATGATTAGTTTTAAAATATCATTTAAGAATTTTTCAAAAAAAAAAAAAAAGAAAAATTATTGTTGATTACCCTTGTTAGCGAAAACATGTAAAAATACCAAATTGGTATTTCAACTTTTGGCCGCTATTCACTCAATGCAAAACAAAACATTTTTTACTAAACGTATTTTTTTCACTATTTACTGCTATAGTATTCCCACAAAAATAAAAACACCAAAAACAAGATGTTCATTGTCTCTTCTAGTCTTATATTTTATATTTCTTTTTTCAGCTTTCTGTCTTCTTGTATAGTTGAATATACCTATGCGTAAAGATATATAAATATATTATATATTGTATACAAACAATTTTTTTTCCCCATAATTCATACATCTATGCAATATGTATATTTATATACATTTGTAAATATACATATAAATGTACCCCCCACCTTATGGTTTTGAGCTCGACTCCCCTCCTCCCTAATTCCTAACTACTAACCATTGCTACGATAAAATAAAAAAATGTAGTATAAAAAATAATATTAAATTTATGTATTTTTTAAAAAGAACCAATTATTTATTCAGTTGGAAAAACTCTGGATGCATACAATGCTTAGCTCCCCCACCACTGTGATGAAAGCACACATTTTAGCATAAAATTCCAGAGAGGAATCAAGGTCTCTCGTAAAATTCCAAAAATCTGAAGCTGAAACTTCCTTTTCGATTTTCTAAAATAAAATATGCTTTAAGATCATCAGTAAATTCCTGGTTCAAGAGAAGATCAGACTCCACTTGGTGAGTGGGTGGCCTGACAATATATATATATATATATATATATATATATATATATATATATATATCTCATAGGCGTACAAAAGAATTAGTTTGCTTTTCATTCGAAGGTATTTTTCTCGACTGTTTGAATATATTCTGGACATCTCTGATCAGGCATTCAAACTTTTTCTTATTTTTATTTATAAATGATTGATCAATCATAAAGATAGCTAAATGGTTTTTCAAGGCTAGAAGTTGGGTCTAGTTAGGTTCTATTGGTACTCACAATCTGGTCTGGTTCTAATTTTTATAAAACCGCGGGGACCGATTTGGTTCCAAAATACTCTCAAATCGGTCCAGACCGAACTGAATTGTGTGCACCTCTATAGCAAACATGCATAGTAATGGTATTCTGTTTAATATACTAAAGACGGATTTAATTATATACATATTCTAGACAAATTTTGTTATGCCCCAAAAATTAAATATAACATCTAGTTCTATACACAAATGAACTAAAAAATATGTTCCCCTTTTCCACCATATCCAATATTTTTGATAACACAAATAAATAGAATCTAAAGATGAAGTCCATCACATGAAGATAGCCACCACAATGTCATAAAAAGTTCCAACCTCTCTCCAAAACATAAATAAATATTAGTAGCTAGAGACAATAATGAAACTAGTTGTCACACATCATCTTTTCACAGCTGGATCTGCCGTTACCTGAAATTAAAAAAAAAAAAAAAAAAAAAAGGTTCACAGTTCAACAAGATTATAACCTAACAAGATGACCTTACCTCATCTCAATATACAACAGTACAATCAATTACAAAATGATATTATTACTTAACGAGTATACCAATTATATAGAATGCCTATACTGAGAATCCACAATCTAATCCATCATATAATTAGCTCTCCCTTCTTTCGTTTTTTTGGTTATAAATCTTGCAATTATTTACACAAACATATCTATTATATGAATTTAACTTCGGTTACATATTCAATTATCTATATAAGAGTTTCCTAAAAGTGATCTCCACACTACTAATTGACTCTAGTTTTCTTCACTTGCACTCCCCCTTTTAAATTTGAAGAGAAGTACAAGAGGAAAAAAGGAGATTTAGAAGTACAAAAGATAGATTGCAATTTCAGATTCATAATCAAAGTTCTCTCTCTGCCCGTGTGTGAATAGGTGGGTGGGGTACCAATCTATGCCAAAACTGGAATCATAATTTAATGGGGGAATATTGCTGCAATTCATCAGCCTATTTTCTGAGATTTCAAAACAAAAAAATGAATTTCTATATGCACCAGCCAATATAGATCCTCTTTTGCATATGGTAAAAGTAGAGCAAATTAAAACCCGATCCAGATCGTAGGATCGCCTGAGATTCCAAATTACTAAATTAATCCAGATCACATTAGAAATCCCATGGAAGCAGGATCACAATAGGACGACCGGTACAATCGGAATAGGATTGCATCATATGATCCTATTGATCGTATTGTTGACGTTATAAGTATAAAGATCACTCTTTAGCCTAACTGAATTAAAAATCATAATAAAAACTCAAAACTTAAAATGTTTACTCTATTTTCCTTGATTTCTCTTTCTTTCCTTTTCGTAACAAAAAATAGCTCTCTAATTTTCCTCTTATTCTTTTTTGCCCATTTTACACCCAAAAATATACTGCCTTTTCTTTTCCTCCCTCTATTCTCTCTCCCTATATTTTGTTCTGTCCTTGGAAACAAAAAATGGTCTTTCCAACTAAATTGGTCACCGATAATTGGACAACTAAATATGTTTTTCTCTCCTTGTTTATCTATTCCTTTTTCTCTTTGTTTAGGATTTAATTTAATTGTTTTTGTGATATTATGCGACTTTGCAGAGGAATGAAGATTCAAGAAATTAGTTTCAAAGTTTTTCTTGTCTTACTATCTTAGTATCTTTTTATGTTGTTTAATCTGTGCTAGAATGTTAATTTTATTGGTGTTTAGCCTTATTCACTAGTTATTTTTATTTTTTCCTTTTGACAAGTCTTATTCTCAATTATTCTGAAAATAATTTTATTTAGAAAGCTAGTTTGAGTTGTTTTTTTACTAGTTGTATAGATTCTTAAGATTTTCAATCCTATCTTACGGCCCTGATCCTATGTGGCACCATCGATACTACATAAAATCTCAACTCACACATACTATATACTAATACAACTAAAATAATACTCTAAGAAAGGTAGAGTTCAACTCAAATATTATCCAACCTAAACAACCACAAACTTATGCATCTCCTTTGCTTATTAACCACCATTTGCAATTTCCATCAAGAACCCAAGACGGAAAAAGAAGCAGCTCCTGCTCCTAGTGAGATATCCCACTGGCTTTGTTACGTCTCTAAGGTTCTTTGCCCCGGAAAACCTAGTAGCAGAATCACCAAGTTGAGACTAAACTACCTCCAAGTTGAAATCAATATGGGAAGAAACTTATGCATAAAATAAATATTATTTTATCACCAAAAAAATAAAAATAAAAATAAAGAAAGAAAGAAAAGAAAAGGAAGAAGAAGATGACGACAACTTTTTTTTTGGGAGGAAATATATTAGCATTTGCCAATTGAAATGGAAACTAGTTCACGATAAGAAAAATCAACCAAATCCAAATCCAAATCATATAAAAATCTCAAAGGGAATTAATGATAGAGAACATTTCTTAAGACCCTGTCACTATTAGTCAAAGATTTTGCTACTTGATCTTGAACGGTTAAAAATCTCTTTGAACAGATTCACTTAATATCTTTTACCAAGAAGTATCTAATTGCGTATTGTAATATAAAATTGGTCATTTATAGCATTCAAAGATAAATGTAAAAGTTAAACAATCTTAAGTATCTAATTGCGTGTTGTAATATAAAATTGGTCATTTATAGCATTCAAAGATAAATGTAAAAGTTAAACAATCTTAGACGTTAAAATTTTGTGGGAAAAAAAAACCATGAACTTCATTTGTTTTAACTTATTATAAATAATTTTTTCCTCTTTCCTATAAATCTAACATGACATCTTATTGCTCTAATGAGTAACCAGTTCTTTCGCAAGTCAGCTTTTAATGTGTATTACTTGTTTAAATTCAATATTGTCTTCATACCTTCGGTTATATCCAATATAGCACTTTTAATTAGATTAGATTAAAATGACCTCTTCTCCAAGTAAATCTCTCTTATTGATTGCTGAGATAAATGCATGATCTATTGACTATTGTTATTTTTGGTCATCTTGATTATTAAATTAATTTTCAATTATCAAGTTCACTTTTGTTAGAATGCAAAAAGGTGTATTTTGTATTTCTTATAAGAGCATGTTGGTCATTTTCTTCTAATATCAATTGTTATATAAATACTAGTGAGAGAAGATTGACAGGGAGAACCTCTAAACATTAAAACCCCAAACACAGTGGTGCCTCTTCTCTGTGAATCTTAAATTCAACAACTTCCAAGATCAATGATTGAAAGGTCAGCACGGAATGTGCTTTAGACTTTATAAAATCATAATCGACAAAAAAAAAATAAAAAAATAAAAACAAAGAAAATCAAACAATCACTAACACTTTTTTTTTTTTTGATAAGTAATAATTGAAATAAAAAGGTGTTCAAGAGGGGAATGCATCCCTTATACAAAAGTGGAACCAAGGTTTAAGGCCCCAAAGAAGCCAAAAAAAATAATTAAATCTTCGGGAGAGGAACAAGACTTCCTCTTCACATAACTGAAAAGAGAGCGTATGATGTGAAGTTTCAGAATCGCCGTGGACGATTCTTACCAATCACTAAGACTCTTATTAAATAAGTTTTGCAGTTTTACATTAATTGACAGTGTAGCACAAGTGCTGATTCAAATGGCTCTACGATTTTTAATACTACAAAATTGTCACAGAGTTCATGAATCATCATAAACTAAAAGAGAAGAAAGACTATCCTAGATTCAACTCTCAGTGATTTTAGAATCACCAAAATGTAAAACATAAAGACTCCAGGTCAAGATTTTTCTTTCAGATATTATCCCTAAGGTTTCTTAGGAATTGTAAGGTTTTATTCTCAGATTATTGCCTGTTGGTGGGATCTGATTTTTCACCTCGTTCTTCACAACTTTATTAATCTTAGTTGATTCAATTTCGGATCCTTTAGTATATTTTCTTCAAACCTTCAGCCTTTTGAATCAAATCTTTGATTCTTCATTAATCTTCATTTTATTTTATAGATTTTTTGAGAATAGATCTTTTTCAAGAATCTTTTTTTAATGATAGAAAGAACACTTTCAGCGACCATTTCTTTTGCAATAAGAACAATGCCCATTGAAAAATCTTAAATCTTATTAGATTCAATCCTTGTGATCTCACGTACTAGAAGACATCCACCATTCATGTCTAGAGCACATGCATCCACCATTATTTAAGGTCCAAACTTTAAACTTGCCTTATTAGTGCTGCTCAATTTAAGAATTGTCAAGTAAATTATTTTACATGTCTCCCATTAGTTCCCTACAAACTATAAGTCATGTAATTCTTAAAAATATATGGCAGACTTGGCAGTTCATTATCAAACCCTTCTCTCATTTACTTCTGTCAAAAGCTCATATATTTTATATTACTAATTCATTTATTCAAGTCTCTTTTCTATTTCTAATTTTCTTTAGGCTCTATTCGGTTAGATGGAAATGGCTGGAGAGAAAAGAAAATTGTATATATATATATATATTTTCAACATTTTACAAGTTTGGAAGGCAAGAAAGAATAATTTTGAGGGAAGTAATTTTCCATAACCACTTAACTTTTCCACAAATTCTTCCTCTAGAAAACATAAGAAAATTTCTTTCTTGGAAAGTGATATGAACCAACAGCTTGCCCTTAAATTCTCTTAAAAATAAAATGTGTTTATATATAAAAAAATTTAAATAAGGTATAATGGTTCATATCTCTCTCTAAATAAACTACAAAATTATTTACTTAAATTCTCCAATAAATTTTGTTTTTTCGAGAAAAATATTAATTCGAGACAAGCTTATTTAGATATGTTCAGCAAAAATGAGAAGAAAAAAAAAAGAACAAGAAAAAGGTAAATAATAATATTTTCTTGAAAATTTTAAGCTACCAAACTATTAAATTAAATTTGTAACAAAAATTTCATTCTAACCACAAACATGTTGAAAAAATATTTTTCCTTTCTTCCACTTCAATTTCTATTACTTCCACCTTCTAGTGTCTATTTCCTTTTAACTAAACAGAGCCTTAAGATTGCAACTTCATTTATTTTATCTTTTAGTTATTTATTTATTATCTTTTTCCTATAAACTTTTTAGTAGGATTTTCTCTCAACATTGAAATATAATGTATGCTTTTTTTTTTCTTTTTTTTTTTTTCCCCTTCCTTTTCAAAAAGCTAATGATACAAGCCCCTCTACAACAATCATTTTCTATCTCTTTTTTGTATAATATTTCTATAGGGAATTAATTAATTCACAATATATAGGTTGAATGGAGCATGGGAAGTGAGTGTGAGCATGAGAATGTGATTGGGTAGATTGACAGCAAACGTGGTTTATACAAAGATCATTAGTTTCTCTTTTCGTTTTCTCAACACCAAAGGCTTCGCAACACACTGGCGAGTTTTTCAATCCCACCCTAAAACACCAATTCTCCTAGAGTTCCAAAGTGATCCTTAAGTTCTCTGTTATT